ATTTATTTATAAATATTTAAATGAAAAATAATATATATTATATATTATTTTATTTCTGTAGTATTATATATTATGAAACAATATTCTGTAAATCACTAGTGGATGTACTAAGTACCGTACTGCTAATTGTAAATATCTCCAGCCATAACTGATAAAGACTATAAATTTAAAACGCTTGCAAATATAGGTACTGAAAGCAAATATGAAATCGTTAATAATCACGAAAAAATGGAAGAATAGCGTTGAAACTTCGATAGAAATGCACGAGAGTAAACAGCAGGCAATAAATTTAATTTAGTTTCATTAATTAAACTGCTCCCTTCTCTAAACGTCTGATCCCTCTTATAATTTTTTCAACGAGAAATTCGATATCGGTTTCGATAAATTGAGTCCACAGTTCAAAGCATCGCATCCTATCACATTTATTAAACCTCCTCCCCGTTCGCTAAATACAAAAACACGATGAAATATTGAAAAGAAAAATTCGGAAAATATCCTCGCGAGAAGATGAATGATCACTATGCGGAGATAGAAAAGGCTGGAGAGAGAAACTGAAGAGTGAAAAAATTTACCAGAGGAAGAATGGAAGCCAGCAGGCCAGAAACGCTGACATGATGATTCCCAATGTTCTCGCAGCTTTTCGTTCTCTCCTCATCTTGCTGCTGCTAGTGATCGGTGGATCCTCTGGCTGTGGATCAGGCGACGATTGATCCACGGTGGGGAGCGTGGTCAAACCGGCGGAAATACCATTGATCTGCAGATGTTTGTTCAGAAGCGCGGCCGCCACTTTGCTCCTGCAACACAAAGTCCCAGGTTCTGTATTTCTGTTTGCGTGAAATTTTCAAAAGAAGAACAGAGAGAAACCATTCGGTTCCTCTTGTGTTTCGAACGAATAATATTTTAGGAAATTTCATTTTTATTATATTTATTATCATCGTATTTGTTTCGGTATAAAATAATAATAATAATAAAATAATATCGAAAATACCTTTGATTATTTAAGACAGACACAAGTGTAGTACTAAATCTGAAAATAACTGAAATTATCTACAGAGAAAGGTATAGTAAAATATATCATTAATTTCAATTTTCATATTCACCGTTATTTTTATATTTTTAATTTCAAGAGTCTCGTAATGGATAATTTTTCATATTTTTATTTCTGAATTCTAGATGGAGCAAAGTATGGCTTATTAAAATAAATTCCTCCTTCTGAATATTTAAAATCAATATTTTCACTGTGTACATAATTTTCGATGAAACGCGTCCGCTATATCAGCCTGTGAAATATAAATATTATACATACACTAATTAATCATTCACTCGTTACATTTCCATACCGTATGCAACGTCCCAGTAATAAATAATTGATTACTCTAAAAATACACGAGGTTGAAAACAACGTATATTACCAGAATAACTAGGAAATATTTATATAAGATTGGTAAATTTTTACTCCCGAGATGTACAATATTCCATCTTCGCGACTATTTTCAATCTTTGCCTCGAAATATCCGCCACGAGATAACGTATCTCGTTCTAGAAGACGTTAAAGAAAATATCTCTGGGATCGCTAAATGTCCGAGTGTCTTTTTACGGTATTATTAAGCCGAGCAACATTCGCAGGGCTATTTTCCAAATAATGCACGTATCTGAAGTTGCGGAGAAGAATGGAGACTGTTATAGAGGATGCATAGCGCGTCTGACTATAGACGGTCCATTGTCACTGACGCGCTTTGTTCCCCCCACTCCGCGACACTCGTCCCACTCCGCGACACTCGTCCCCACTCCGCGCCGCCCGTCGATCGCGCAGTCGATCGCATCGCGCGTCCTAACCTCACTAACCTCGTAACGTGCATCGCCTTGGAGGTTGTTCCCGGAGAAAAATGAAAGCCAGCACGCGAGAACTCGGTGTAGAATCTACGTTCGATATTCCCGTATAACAACTTTATTTTACGGAAACATTTTTTATTTCATAGGAAACGCGCGAATCGATTAAATATTTCCTTCCCGTGCAGTTTCGAACATTTACCAGCGAGACGAGACTGGGTGCAGCTGAATATCCAGGATGAATACAGTATAGATCCGATCGGAATTTTTGCAGAATCGCATATTGATTTAAAAGGAGAAATTGGTTTCCAGGGATTTCAATATTTTAAAGAATATTCGGTACCATCGAAAAATCGAGACTTCTCGCTTGTGTAAATTTATATAGGAAGCTCGTTGTTTCAAGTAATCTGGCAGGTTTTGGTGGAATGATTTATTCTCGGAATATTCGGGCAGGAAATTTGAAAATTCCTTTTCCAATTCTTCAAATTAATATTCGGAATTATAAATACTGATGTTATATTGATACTAAAAAATTTATTTCTCTTCTAATCTTACTTCGATTTTTAATTTTTTGATTTAATTAACCGCGTTCTGCGATTAATATAAAATGTGCGAAATAATTATTTCTGTGTAGAGTAACGAATGAAATATCGATGGTGGTCTGATGGAATGTGTAAAAATACTCTGAAAGCTTTGAGATGGTACAGAATACCAAAGTATGTTACGTTTATACAATTCCCAGCGATAAATATTCACTTAGCTCGGACTTAATTAAGAATGTCAACCTTTAACGTAACTCCCAAGTTCAGCGAAGATTTCCGTCCCAAATTGATTTATATTTAACTGAGATTATTCTGTTGATGTTAAATGATATTAATTAAATTTCCTTCTGCCTCGTTCAGCGCCGACTGGGCTTTAATTTAGCAATACCGAGTGCTTCTTAACAATTTCCAGACACTTTCTCGCTAAATTAATTCAACCGACATTCGGAGATCCTGCAAAGGGAAGAGAATAAATTATGCCAGCAGAATGAAAAGTATGTCTTAAACGTTGTCGCGAGGCTCATCCTAGAGGAAATATTTTTAAAGCAATAACGAGGATTATTAGCCAAGTGTGAAAATTTTATTCGCAGAATTATTAAATTTTTCTGCAAATGTTTCGCTTCGTATTTAATTTTTATTCTTTGAATAAACGTCTCGTATTTACCTGGACAAATGAATTGCAAATATGTGTTTAGGATGATGATTTCAAATTTTTTTTAAATCTTCCAGCTTCCGGAAAAATTATCACAGCTCTCATTCGTAAAACAATTTTATGAATTTTTTCATAGAAAATAAACTGCAAGTATATATATGTGTATACGCAGAAAAAATATCCTTAAAATGTTTAATAATATTATTAATAAATAACCCTCAACTCTACAAAAAATAATTACTCACCTGTCGCGATTTCTTTTTCTAAAAATAATTAAGCTATTTTTCACAGTGATAGTTAATGGTACACACCGTATGGTATTTGAAGAACAGAAGCATAGTTGTGATATTATTTGCATTTGCATACCGATAATTAAACGACCAAGAGAGAAATCGGATATTGAAGCGCAGCAAAGAAACGAGACGATGTTCCGCCGCAAAAGTTCCACTACCGCTTTAATTAAACTCCTGGCAACTGCAAGCTAGTATTAAATTCGTATTAAATTGTTGAGCAACGACGTATAAGAGCAACAACATTTAGCCTGGCAAGATATTCTTGTGAGAACAGCCTTTATTGCCGAGGAGGAACCCAATTATTACGAGAATATTTAATAATCGTTATGAATCTTCCCCAAAAATTGAAAAATTAATTTTCTCGATAATTTTTAATAACGAGTCACATTTTGGGTTACAATAACTCCACGAATTTTATGTTTCGTTAATTTTAAAATTTAACACTGTGTTTATCAGAATTATAATAAATATATTACAATTCGTATCATAGCGTTATTATTATTTTTATTTAACATTGATATGTGTATATGAGAACATCCTTTATTGCCGAGGAGGAACCCAATTATTACGAGAATATTTAACAATCGTTACGAATCTTCCCAAAAAATTGAAAAATTAATTTTCATAGGTGATATATGATATATAACGAGTCACATTTTGTGTTACAATAACGCGACGAATTTTATGTTTCGTTGATTTTAAAATTTAACACTGTGTTTATCGTAATTACAATAAATACGTTATAATTCGTATCATAGCGTTATTATTATTTTTATTTAGCATTGGTATGTGTATATACACATATTTTCATCGTCATTGTACTTATCGAGAACACGTTTCTTAATCAAAAATATGCAAGAGCAACGAAACCGATTGATATCATAATCGACAGTTGCTAAATATCAAAATCAATCAAGCAAACAATTATTCATGATCAAAACCTCCATTCCACGAATAACTTCATCATACAACGAATAACCAACTGAACACATTTATTAAATGAAACCGATACTTCAATGTTTACTGAAATTCATACAAACAGAAATAATAACCATACAAATTCCCAGTCCACGAATAACCCACCTCGATTTCAATAATCAACATCATAACCGCGAAGCCACTGCAAACTAAGTCAATCTAAGCCAGGAAAGAATAAACAAACAAACGCACAACTCTATTAATTCCAGCCCCCTAGGATATTATATTTAACTGAATATATTAAATATTTATTAAAAAATATTATAGCACAGGATAAAAATTAACGATGAAGTTTGTCCAATTATTTAAAAATACACTATTATTTTTATTATTTAATTTATTTAATTATTAAAAAACAAACGTGCAACTCGATTAATTCCACCCCTCTAGGATATTATATTTAATTGAATGTATTAAATATTTATTAAAAAATATTATAGCACAGGATAAAAATTAACGATGAAGTTTGTCCAATTATTTAAAAATACACTATTATTTTTATTATTTAATTTATTTAATTATTAAAAAACAAACGTGCAACTCGATTAATTCCACCCCCCTAGAATATTATATTTAATTGAATATATTAAATATTTATTAGAAAATATTATAGCAAATTAACGAAGAAATGTATTGAATTATTTAAAAATTATTTTTATCTAATTATGATTATTATCACGATAATAATTTGCACGTTACCCTCAATGATTTCAGAATTGCAACTGACCTATCCAACTATTCTCTTATTTGTCCTCTCTTCTGTCATACATTATAAAAATATACTCAGTCCACACCATATTTTCTGATATATGTCATTTATTTATTACATATGTGGTATTGTGAGCTGGGAAGAACTCCAGCGAAGAAAACCGTATTAACCCTTTGCACTCGACGATTTTTTAGCTGGAGAAGAGTAGAAATTCAAAGATTCTCTACTGAAAAACTGACGATACCTTTTTGAGCAGTAAATAAAGAATTGTATAATAATAGAATTGTAGAATTATTTGATTTCGATACCTGGAACGCTGTTACATTACATTAAATTTGATATATTAATTAACATCGATCTTCCAAATTTTATGAAATGATGACTAAAGTCACCGGTCACCGTTCGAGTGCAGAGGGTTAAAAGCGATATCGGGTCCAGCTTAGCTGTTTAGGGTATCATCTGGAGCACATGCGGACGGATGGATGACCACGCGCAAGGATTGTATGGACGAAATATTTATGACCGGGTCGAGTGCAAGCAATGAACGAAAGTCTAGGAATGTGCCCGAATTTCTGAAGTACCTGGCCCAGGGCTAGGGCGAGATCGCGTGGGAAATGAGCGATCAACGAAGAGAGCTTGCGTATGAAAAGAGAGAGCGTTAGACTTTAAATAAGGGTGCAAGTGCACGGGCGAGATAGAATGCGTGTAATCGAGACGTAGCGAGTAGAGAATCTAGAAACCTAGTGTAATATTGTAGGATATTTTTTGACTTCCCCAGGTATAGAGGCCC